CATTTATCAGAGTGAGTAAAACTGGCCTAAGATCTAAAACAGAGTTTTACCAGAGACTTTCTCAGAGCAATTTACTAGCTGTCAGAACTGCATACATGGAGAAATATTGTCAATATTACAAATACAATAATCAACCAAATATAACTTTATTTCTGTCATCATCTAGGTCATTCATAAGGAAATCTTACCTCAGGCATTTAGGTAGAGGTTGGTAAAATGATTTTTTTTAGTAAGAATGATATCCAAATCCACTTATTTTATTTCATTGGGCTTTTCAAGTTCATTGTTTTGGTTTTTTTCTTGTTGTTTAACACTGTGTTTTGTTTATGCTGTTGCACCTTGAAGTACTTGGGACTTGGTTTTGATGCTGAAGAGCAGAGTTCCAGTTTGGAGTTTGTTTGTTATTCAGATCATGATGTGCTGATGGTCAGTGTTTATTTACAGGTCAGACTGAGAGGAAAAACTATGAGCTCTCTCTCACTTGGAAATTTGCCCAAGGCAGCAATCACTCCTCAGTTCATGCTACTAGAATAGTTTCATCTGTACAGGTTTGCCAAACACATGGTCAAGATAAAATTACTTATTTTTCCTTGAGATTTCCTGGTGGGAGTGAAGCATGCTTGTTACAAGAAAAGCACTGGTCAGAGTCTTTATTTTTCTTACTGTCCCTTTGGCTTGGTTTCTTTTGTCTTCTGTGTGGAATTTAACAGTTTGCCTAGTTGTTTTGCCACAATGGTCTCCTACAAAACCAAATGCAAACCACCATAACCAGTGAATATTTCAGTTTCTGGGATTGTAAGGGAATGTATAAGCAAGAAAAGCAGAATCATTGTATGGATTACAGGATTTTTTTCAATTATGTTGCCATGTAAGGAATGGAGTCCATGTGCTTAGCACAAGCATGTTATTGATATTATATTTGGAAAACAAGAAAGTGAACAACTGAATTTTATTCTCAGTATTTTCATTCTGATTTTTTTTCTCCTGTTTTCCCATATAACTGTAACCTAGTAACTGTGTAGTGATTGGAAAACTGACTGCAGCCTGCATCATATGGATGTAACTTGAACCAATTGGAGAAATGACCCTTAGTGCTTAAAATTATTAACTGTGCTAAGCTGTTTCTACTAAGCAGAGTTGAAATCTCCTGAGAAACTGTTTGAGTTTTCTGTCCGAACACGAGTAATTAAATACTTCAAATGGTATGTTTACAAGAACACCATGCAATCAATTACAGATATTTCTTAAATCCATTATAGATACTTCTGATACTTCTAAACCTCAATAGTGCCACAAACATTTCTATTCATCAACATTACTACTGTTGGTGTTTGTACTCACATAGTGTATAAAGGTCCCACCTAAATGAGGGCTCATTGTACAAGGTGCTGGGTGTCAGACTTCTGGCACAGGATAATTATGTGTGTCTTTCTCAACTACATGTTTTGGTTTACCAAGATAAAGGGAGAAGGACAATGATATTCCTTTTCATCTGTTGCTGGAGTGGTGCTGTACAAGAGGGCAGACAGGTAATCACATCACAAGAAGGAATGGCTGTAGACTGTGTATTTACATAGTTTTGAAATTAGAGGTTTCTAGTTATCAAAGTTTTGTCATTTTAGAATGAACCTTCATCACTTTTAAAAAGGGCTTGTGTAATGTGTTTTATCAAAACATTGGGAGGACTAGAGACAAGGAGTTTCTCCTTCTGGAGAACTGGAAATAACTGTCACCTACTTGTCACTCAGATTTGCATGCACCATTGTGAAACTGTAATGTGAAAAAGGGGCACTTGAAGCAGAAGTTTCAACTTCTTGGAAGGTTTTTTTGCCTCATGGTCAAGTCACTGCCTTGGAATTGATGGTAAGGATAATTGGGATTAGTAGGTATAATATCTGCTTTACCTTGTATTTACTTTGTAGTGGTAGGAAATAAACAAACTTCTGATTCACTGTTTTTTACCAAAAATCTGATAAATTAGCTTACTTTTTAAAAAAACAGATCAGCACCAAAAGATTAGTGCACATAATAACACAAATCCAGAAGTAATGATCTAAACAATCCTGTTCATGTAGAGAGAAATAATGTGGTGTGGCCTGGTAATATCTTGTTCCAAGAAATGTGTTTCCATCTGCTCTTGTGTGGGCTGTGCAGCATAAACTTTTGCTTTAATTGTAGCTCACTTGGAGTTTAAAGGATCCATTTGTTCATAGTACTAGTAGGCTCCAAAATTCATTCCTCTTCAAATAGCCAGCGATGTTTGAGAAGTCTGAAAACAGAACACTCTGAAATTCACGTGTAGAGTACTCGCTGCAGTGTTTAAATAGTGGTGCTGACTGCTTTGTTACAGAGAGGATTCAGATTTACCCACAATTCAAATGTTCTTCTGGAGAGATTTATCTCTGTAGTAGTTCTGCACATTGCAGCATCGTTGTGTTAACTCAATGCACAGTAGCACTGGTATTGTGCTGGCTGAGGCTCATTGGCTCACAGTGGCAGTGGCTCAGGTCTTTCTTGAAGGAGGATTTTGGAGAGTGAATGAGAGGTGAAAAATAATTTGTGGATGAAGTATTTTGTCCACATAGTTTGCACAGGTGTTAGCTATACATGATTCAAATTCTGTACAGGCATTTAGGCCAAGGGGTGGGATTGAGGCTTTTTTGTGAATGTTGAAATAATGCCAAATTCTTTTTCTTTCTTTTTTTAAAACCTAACATATGCATCCTCAAAAAGCCTCTATTCTGAATATCTTTGAAGTTATTAGATACTCAGACTGGCTTTCCTCTCTTTTTCAGGCAGCTTGTCTGAAAGGGTGTGATAACCCTGATAAGTCAACACAATTTCTCTTATTTAGCAAACTGAGAAGTCTCTAGAAAATTCCAGTCATGGGGAAGTTGTATAACCCTCAATGCACAGTATTCTGTTGCTTTTTTGGGTTTATAGAGCTCACTATCAATTTTAAAGTGCTAGTTTGTCTGGTACTAAGTGGATTTTAAGAATTATGTTTGTGACAGGACAGTAGGGTACTACAGGAAATCCATCTTAAAATGTTGGTTTCATTCTCCCCCATATCTGCACTGCTGAAACAGTCCATTTTCTTGCCTCCTTTCATATCTTTCTTCCCCTTGAAATTAAAAAGAAAAAATAAAAATAAAAATGAGCTCTACTACAGTCTCTGTGCATCAAGGGCAGGCTAAATTGTTTTCTTTTTTCATTTCCTGCCACTTCATGCTTCTGTCAGGACTTTTCCAGGAGAAAGGGCAGGTCAGTATACAGTTGTCTGGGAAAAGAAAACTTAGCTACAGATATTTAAACAAGCCCAAAACAAACAGCTTAATTGGTCACATGAGGGAAACAAGATGCCAAGGACATCCTCTCCTTCCCTCATATGGCATCCAAATGACTCTAAAACATCTGATTTTTTTTTCCTCTTAGCTTGCTTCTATGTTTAGCTTTGTAAGTTTCTATTAACAGCACCCAAAATAGATGTTGTTCAAGGCAGGCAGGTGTACCTGCCCACACTGCATGGAGACAGGGGTCCTGCCATGGCAGTGGAGGAAAAGAGGCTCAAGCAGCACTGCTCCTCCTGCAGTAGGAAATTGGTTGTGTAACAATGGAAATGTGCAGGATGACTGCTCAGGGGGCCATAGGCTCTGCAAAGTCTGTGGCAAGGGGATCAGTCTTATGGCAATTGTACTTAACTATCGGGATTATCTCTAGGAACCCTTTTTTTGTGTTTGCAGGAAACTGTCCATTTTGCATTTTATTCTGCTCAAAAAGATTCATCTTTAGACACTGAGCATGAATTCTATCTAGTTGTAAGGCATGTTTGTGACTTCAAAACTTTCGAAGTTTTCAACTCTTTCTTGATTGCTGATCTGCCTTCAGCAGACAAAGGACTGTGTGGCCCTGAGGAGAATAATAATATTGGAAGCTACTTGATGATCTGTCTCCTTCAGAAATTTTTAAAGATGGAATGCATTTAAATATGTCTGCTTTTTAGGCCCAAATTTTATATAATTAATATGGGGTAAAGAGAAGTCTTGGTGAAGTATCTGTTTTTGTACACTAACATGAAGTTTCACCTTGAAAAACCCTTTAGTTAGGTGAGAGACAGGAGGCCAAGAAACACTGTTCAAAGCTCTTTCAAACAGTCAGGTCTGAGTTTCAGTATTTTCAAGTACTTCAATACCATGGCAACAAGAGCTTCAATGCTTGAATAATTGGGGACAGAATTAGCATATTTCCCTAGGAAGTCTTCCGAGAGTTTTGAAGTGGTTTGCAAAACTGAGGTAGTCATGGGTGCTTGTTAGAAAGAATTTCTCTGCCTGGACCTGACTCTCCCAGTTACTAACTAACAACCAGAACACTTTCCAGTGCTTCATTCCATCTAGCAGATTCACAGATCTGTGTGGGGTGCATACCATTGGAGGGCCTACTAAATTCAGTTTCTGCATCTGGGAAAATATTTGCTGAGCTACAGCAAAATCATGCTAAACTGTGGACAAGGTCTAAGATGATTTTTAAAATCAAAATGTGAAGTTCCAGTCAAGCAGCAGAGTGGAAAGTGCAGCTAGATGAGAGGGCAGCTGTCTATACCCAGACCATGATAAGAGTCATTGGCCACTCATCCTCATTCCAGAATCAGCTACATAAATGTTATTGATAATGAAATGTGCAATTTATTGCTTGCTCTGGAGATGGATTAGACATTGTAAGCAGCAAGGTGGGCAAAAGACATGTTGACAGCTTGGAGTGGGGATTAAGTTACATCATAATCAAAATTTGCTAAACCTGGGAGAATAACCTCATCTGCTCTTGCTGGGATTATGAGAGGCATGGCTCCTCGAGTAAGGACCAAAATACTGGTTTTGGTGATGATTGGTTTTAACATGAAGGTATTTCAAGACCCTCAGTTGCTTTATAAGAAGGAGTTGCTCATGTAACCCTTCTCTAGACACAGGTGACATTGCTGTTTCAAAGGTGGTAGTGCTTTGACAGTACTGTGACTGTGGTACATAAATTGCTTTAACATTCTATATTATAAAAAATGGTGGCACTAGTTTCTTCCATTTAATTTTCTAAAAGGCAAATCTACATCTTTCTTGTCTTTACAGCAGTTGAAAAGAAAATGTGAAGGAGATGTTTCCCTCTATTGGCTCATCTTCACTGTACCTCTCCCATTCTGCTTCCTCCTCTTTATGATCCTCAAGTGAAGATGAGTGACCTGCTGCCAATATGACATCTCTGACAAGTGTCATTGCCTCCCACCAGTCCGAGTGGGTGTCCTTCACTGACGAGCTGCTCCTCCCTGTTCACCCACGAGGTAAGCTCTCTGATTTTCTTTGAAACTGGTGAGACTTTCTTTGTTTGGTTTAGACAACTGCTGTCATATATCCAGCATGGGAGAGCTTGCCTTCTACATGGAAGCAGTTGGTGCAGAGATTGAATTATCTCCTGCTACTCCTATGTAATAGGAGAATTAGGGCCAAAAAGGCAAATTACTCTGCTTGTGTGATGTTATGTATATCTACTACAGGTTTTGGATCTGTCTTTCAAAATTCAAGACAGTATCCAACCAACCATGGAGGAAATCTCACCTGTTATAATCAAGTGCAAGACTGCCCAGTGTTAATCCAAAAACTGCATTAAGTGAAGGAAAATTTCCTACATTTAATGGCAAATCTTAAATGTTTCAATAAGAAACAATGAAATAATGTTTAAGCCTGTAAATCTTTCTATATTGTCTCTATTTTAGGTAGCACTGAAGCTCCTCCGGTGAAATGTTTTCATTCCTCAGACACATCCTCAGAAGAGAACCACAAAGCAAATGGAGAATTTCAAGACCTTTTCTGCACAGAGCTGGAAGAGGCAGCTGAGCAGCCCAAGGTGGATTCTGCTGTGCTTGGTAACCATGTTTGTCCCAGCACTGATCTGTCATCATCCATCAGTGCTTGGGTTCAGTTTGAAGATGCACCATGGGCCAGTGCTTCATCAACCCACCCACAAACAGGTGAGGCAAAAGCAATGAAAAGGTCTGTTCCAGTAAGATAACAAAGTACAGTAAGAGCATACAGGATTTTTGCCTTGCTCTTTGGCTTCTCAAAGGTTTAACTTTGAGTAGTTTGTACTATATTTTAACATGATTAATGTTATCAGAGTTTCAAAAAGGGCTCACGCTATCCTTCTGGATTGAACAAGAAATATTTTCTTTTTGTAAAGAAAAGGAAAGCCTTTTGTGATTCACTCCACCTGTGTCTTGACTAAGTCTTGGAGACTGCCAAAATGCATGCATGGGGAAAGAGCATAGAGGTGTTTTCAGTAGTGACATTTCTTTCAAAGAGGTATGAGCAGCCACTGAAAAAGTCTAAAGCCATATTTGCCTCTGTAATCTGGGATTGAAGGAATGGTAATCACCTCTGTGATTATAGCCTTTACCTGATCATAGTTCTCGTATGTTTTTTGCCAGCAGTTAATTGATACCAACTAGTGTGCCAGTGCTCATCAGTACTTCCTGCTGTCTTCTGATGCTATGATTAAGCAGCTGGAGAATTACAAAGACAACAGAAGTTTACCTTAATTCCAGCACTATATGCACTTTTCTTCAAATAGAGCAGTTCTTTCTGACATACTTTAAACATGCATGCAAATCCTCTGGCTTGCCTCATCAGCTTATGGTAACTGATGTGGCTATATGAGCTTCTAGCTTTCTGCATGAACAGACTTCTCTCCTTCCTTGCAGGAAGTTGTGGAGTAATTGCCCAAGAAAACAATAGTTTACTTCTTCATGTTTAAATTGAGATTCTCCCTTATCAATTCCACTTTATGAATGCTATTTATTAAAGCAGTTTAAAGAGTTATAGCTTTCCTCTACTCACTGAGTCCATCAAATATTCCCTGTAACATGAATAATACTTCTGTCAGGAAATTTGGACTGTCAGCTTTGGATTAGGTCTTGGATAAACCCCATCTGGTTTTTCATCTGCTCTTTTGATGCGTGCTACAGACTAGTCCTTTTGAGACAGTGTGGGGTTAGACCTTTGTGCAGAAGTAGGGGAATCTTCAGGCTAAAAGAGATTTCTCTGACCTTCTTTATATTTATTTGTTGGTTCTTAGTTGTAAATAGTTACTTTTCTTTGTGATGTGGAGAGAAGGAGAAGAGTACCCATGAAGTGTAAATATGTAAAACTGATGTGCTCTACTTCTCTCTAGTTTCATGGCTATGTGATCCTTATGCTTACTAATACAGCCACATACTTTTTCAACGGAGCTGTTGGTTGCTCTGACTTGGTATTTCCTTCCTAATGTTGTTATCTCCTTGTTAACTGAAAAACTTGTAAATGCATCTTCTTAGTAGAAAAATAAAAATCTTTGCTGAACCTTAATAAAGCTAATCATAAGAAAAAGACTTCCATAAAACAAATTTTATCGTATATTGCTTGATGTCCTACCCTTAGAGGGACGTAGCCCAGTCTTAAGGTATATGCTTAGCAAAAGCACTGGCTGTTGGTGTGTGTTTTCAGTCACAGGAGACACTAGTCTGTAGGCAGAGGTCTAGGATATGCAGATAAGGAGAGTAGAGTAGACTTTCTGAAAGCATTGCAGTTTTGAAGAAGGCACTCATTTGTGCCCCTGTAGAGGCTTGTCCTGTGTGATCCATGTCACTGAGGGAGGATATTGACACACTAACTTTGGCATCTGACTGAGAGTCACGGAGGAGGATGGTTCCCTAACAGACCAGGATGTACTCCATGTAATTCTTGCGTGGGAAACTATTTATTCTGTATACGAACCCTAAGGAGGTGTTTCCTAAGGGTATTTTAAAATCCTTACTTAGAAGCTGGCCCCACTCATTTTTCTGTACCCTGCATAATAAAAGACCAGACCAGTGCATCTGACAGCCTCTAAAGCAAAACAGAAATGACAGCTCTTTGTTTCTGGCCCTTTACTTTGAGGGATATTTGACAGCAAGAGGTAGGATAAACTTCAGCCTAGTTGTTCTCCATTATTGTGCAGATCACGATTTTTTTCTATGGGTGTACGCTTACGCCCTCAATGGAAAGCCCCTGGTGACAGCAATTATTCATTTCCAGTAGCAAACATTCTGCATAAGAACAATAGCAAATACCCAGACAGGGGGAGGGAAGAGTATAAAGGCCAAGTACAAACAGAAGGATTGGGGTGAGAAGGATGGACACATTTGAAATCTGTTTCCTGTGCAGGCAGCTGTGAAGAGCAATGTCCTGGAGGCTCAGCACCCCTGGTCGCATTCCTGTCAGGGGTCCAGCACTGTTAGGAAATCGTCTGTCTGTCTGTCTCTGCTTGAGTAGCTGCTCAGCTGACTAGATAATTACAGGCTGATGGCCAGGCTGCCTGGAAACACATTTTGAAAAGGGCTCGCAAAAAGGGCTCTGGGATTTCCAGAGTGCCATGGGAAAAAAGGTCCTAGGAGAAAGAGATGCTGTCTTGCTCTGACATTAGGACTACTGTATTTTGGGGCAGGTTTCCCCAGAAGCAAATATTTGTCCCAAAGTGCTCAGAGTCTAAAAAAAATAACAATTTAAAGACAGCTGGAATGTAGTGGTGTTCCTAAAGGAAGTACATTTTAAAGAAAACTAAGGCTAATGCTGGACCCTTGTTGTTCTGGGGAAAGTGAAGACGTTATTGGAGGAGCAGAGGTCAGGGGATTGATGGCAAGAAACAGGGCTGAGCAAACAGGCAAAGAATTTGGAAGATAAAAAGAAATGTCAAAATCTGAGGTACGGAAATGAAAAGCACCCATAGTAAGCCTCACAGTGAAAACTGTCTTTATTTAGTATGTTCTTGTAAACCCTTCTACCAGGTTCAGGCAGAATAAGTGCTAAGAAAAATGTTTGTTTCAAAATATTTCTGCATTTGGGATTTATGTATAGTTAACTGACAGCTGCTAAATCATGTGGATTTCTTCTTAAGAAGCAAAAACTCTTGAGTGGGGCCATAGAAATAGTTACAGAAATTACGTATTGTGGTGTCCCCTTCTCTGTTTTCCTTTTACTGGGAAAAGAAGAAATTTGATTTTTGTTGATGATTATTATCAGCCTAGTCAAACTGTTACTTATAAAGTGAAAAATGAGATTTTTAGGCTGACCCAAATATTCCTATCACAAATGCTACACAATCTGTAAATGATCACAGCCAGCAGGTGACAAAGCATTAGCATTTGTTACATAATGGGCCTCCAGCTCACAGTCTCATCTTCTATGAATGTTAGCTGCACTCTTCAATTCAATGAGGTATTCTTAGTCACCATAATTAGACTAAGGCAAGATGTGTTACATCATCCATCCTACTCAGCCACGCCCACTTTTTCCCAAGGGCTTTGTCTCGTTTTAAATGGCTCAAATTACTTGGACTCTTACCATTTCCCTTGGGAGGCTCTCCAACAGCATATCTGAGCTTAACTACTTTGTGCTGTTCTCTCTGAAAGTAGGCAATATTTGCAACACAGAATCAGCATCTGGAAACTACACCTTTCACTAGAAAAAAATCATGCTAAAAAATCATACTATGCTAAAATCAGAAAAATCTGAAGTCTTATGTAATAAGAAAGGAAATGATGCTAAAATGGTTTATTGTAATACAGTGTAGGGATCAAGGAACAGGTCTTCAAAACACCAAAGAGGAATTAATGCTTCTAGATAAATCTGCATATTAAAAGCCAATCCATTGTTTTAAGAATAAACATGTCAAGAAAAGTAAAATGCATGTTGAAGGAAATGTTTTTCATTTTGGGAAGCAATGAGTTGATTTTCAGTATCCAGCGAATGCTACAGAATTTGCATTTTAGGGATAGTTCTGGCACTGGTCTTTCAACATAAACAGATTTCTGAGAAATTCCTGCAGCAGAAAGGCCGTGACTCTCCTGCTATTGGTATTAGAGACTGAATTCAAAATTTCTGCAGAAGTGACCTTCCTCGTTTAGAAATCTGGCTGCAGTACTTCCAGGAATCTGAAGAGCAGCAGCAGAAGTATCTGAAGAGAGATCTTAAACAGGTGTAGATATTTACTTTGGCTTGTCTTGCATTTTGAGATTGCTAGATGGTCTTTTGGCTCAGCATAGAGGAAAATGCACTTCTGCTAGTTTTAATAATTAGTGTTGGGGAACCTAGAACAGTCACAGGTAGAAGTCGAATGTAGTAAGAATTTAATGTTCATCTGTTGTAGAAAAAGCTGCCCATGGTTTTGGTTTTCCAAAGTGCAAGACTTTTTAGGAAAAAATTATTTTCTTTCAAGATGGCCCAACTTACTTGGAATAAAATTAATTTGCCCTTATATAGAAGCATTTCCCAACACTAGTCCAGTCAGTTGACTTCTTAGACAAAAATTGGGTTTGGAAAGCACAAAACTAGTTGGCAGTATTTGAGTTACTATATCTTACATGTTTCTAAATTAACCTGTTTTTTCATATTGCTGTGACTGACTTAAAACAAAAAGAAATTACTGGAAATCAAAGATTTTTTAAAATAAAATAATTCCACTGTTTCTAGGATATAAAACACACTTTAAAAAAAAAAAATCTTGGCTCCTGTTAGTGATCCATGTACAAAGCTCAGCTTTTCAGCTTGTCCTCTGTGTCCAAATAAAGGGTTCTGTCTGTCAAAGCAATTTCAGCTGAAGTTTTAAGGATGGCTTTTCAGGTGCCTCATGCTGTGTTTAACAAAAGGACTGAGAGAGGGGCTGACAGATTATAATCATACATTCATTATACTTTCTCTGCAGGCACAACACAGTGTGCAGTTACTGGAGGGAGGAGGGGTGGGCTTTGGCTGTGTGTCTGACAGCTGTCAACTTGTGCAATAAAGAGACAGATGTGACTTTCAGCTCTTCATCCTCAGGAATGACTGCTCAGAAGCCATACAATGTCAGTTGGCTCACAGCTATATATAAAAATTCTACTGCCTGCTTACCTGAGGCTGTCAGTGCAAATACACAAAATAAATCCACACTTCTCAAGAGGCAAGGCAGAGAGCGCTGTTTGGGTATTCTGTCTATGCACACAACAAGGTTTCCATAATGAGGAAGTGTCCCATCATATCACTTGGATGGAGAGAGATAAATCTTCTTTAACATTAATTTGTCATTTCTCTCCAAAGTATCTGTCAACATAGTAAGGGCTGTTTATTTATTACATACTGAGAAGCGAATCTCTGTGTCAGTAGTTGTTCAGTAACTGTGAGATTTGGGGAGCATCAAGATCTTTGTTGGTTTAACAGCTAAATATAGATGTATTAATTTAGAAAACAGTTATTAAGCTGATATTATACCCATACACTTTTCCTTAGTTCAGGAAGACTTTTTAATCATAACTTTATTGTTTATTAGTATTATTTCCTCACTTGAGCCACCCATTGTTCCTAGCTTTCAAGTGATGTTGTAGGCAAAGAGTATGCAGTACAAAAAGTACACAATACAAACTTATAGCAGTGTTCTAAACTCTGGGTGATGGCTAGGCAGGACTGAACTGTTTGACATGCAAGTCTGGCAAATGAGAAGAACAGGATTTTTGGTCTACACTGAGAAGAAATGTTATGTAGTATATTCAGATTGGGACTCTACATTCCGCATGTTCAGAAACAAAAGCCATCCTAATGCACATCAATCGGTCAATTTCAGGTTATTTTTATACTGCCCCTCCATGCAGAGCATTCCTGAGATGATGACTGCATTTGAGTGGGTGTCACAGATAGGGAATGCTTAACTAAATGTAATAAAACCACTTTAAGAAATCTGTGTTGCTGTAAAAACTCCACTGTGTTGCACAACAAACATATTCAGGTCTTGTCAGCAGTGTCAGAAACATGAAATCTTGTTCTGAAAAGTCACAGCTTCTCTGGTACTTGAGCAACAGGAAAGCATATGGCTGCCTGCAGTACAGAATTAAGGCAGTCAGCTGAGTAGTGCTGGAGGGTAACAGTGCCAGGCACTAGCTAAGTTGCTCTGCGTTTGTTATAAAATAACTGTGTTGCTGTGGATGTTGGAATATGTATGGACAGAGTCCCAGTACACTGATCTAGCATGTCTTTGGAATAGTTGTGATCTTTGGGTAGATTGCCCTGCATGTCTCTAATCAATACCTGTTTTCTGCAACCAGTGTCTGCATCAAAAGCACCCAGCTGGACTTCCCCCTCTTCCAACTCTTCTGAGAGGCAAGCCCGTGCCTCAGAGAGCAGCTGGACAACCAACTCAGAGGACACCAGCAGCCCAAGCATTGCTCCCTCCTACACAGATCTGCAGTCACTTAATACCGAGGACTTGACCAGTGGTAGAACATCTGCAGCAGATTCAGCTGGTAAGAGGGAAGCCTCCAAGCTTCCATCTCAATCTTTTTGATGCTACTCAAACTCACTGTTCGAAATTGGGCTACAGAGAATGGATCCAAAGCAGAACAAACTTAAGGATTGGGCAAACCAACATTTTGTTCTACTCTAATTCAAAAAAAATTCACACTTGGATTTTACACAGCACAGACATGCAGGCTCCTGAAGTTAGAGCCAAATGCAACTATGTACCTGTTGATAGACTTGCAGCATTTCTGGTTTTCACATGCCACATCAGCTTAAGCTGATCTAGGAACTAGTATGTTGTGGGAGAGACTGGATGCCTTTTCTGAATTTCCATACAGAAGTTATCTCAACAGTGTATTCAGCTGAGGCAGGCCCAGTTCTGCTTGCTCCTCTCTGTCTCAGTGAGTGCCAAGACACAGATCCAGTTTGCTGGAGGCGTTGTTTGCATAGTGCTTTGCACTGTTACTTAACAATAAATGTAGAGAGTGTAAGACATAACATAAGATGGTTCAGTAGCAGATTTTAACCATTTAAGGATCTTAAATCTGACCTTGTAGGGCTCTATTCAGACACAATCCTGATTGTGGAAAAATGTGCTACGTGGCATTGTTGCTTTTTGCTCCTCAGTTGCACTCTGGGTAATCTGAAGCAGGAGAAATAAAGCAGAGTGGTGCCAGTCATGTCATGGAGATTGAGAACTCCTGAATGACAAAGCTGACTTTCACAGTGCATAAAAAAGCTGACATGTCAGGACACAGAAAAAAATTCACAGCTCCAGGAGGAAGCACCTGTGCTATGTTGGAAGCTGTTCAACCCAAGCTGAGGAAGGTCAGTAGCTACCCAGTTTGGTGATGAAAATTGATTCCCTGGTGTCATGACAGCTCAGACCTGGGAGATATTTAATGTGTTTTCTCTCAGGTGGTGAATGCAAAAATATGTAGGAAATAAGATCTGTTTTGTGAGAATGGGCTAAGCCTTGCTGAGGTCATATGTCACTTCCATAAGAAGCATATGCTTACATCACCTGCAAAGAGTATTATTTGGTGGTTCAGTGAAGCTGGGTTAGACTTCTAGGCAAGTTTATAAACTGCAGCTTGGTAGATGCTGGCTCAGTACTTCAGATGAGCATTTGTGGAGAAGTAGTAGCCGCTTTGGATAAGTACAACTGTTTCTTTATTCAAATAATGAAGTTACCACAAATCTGTGTGACCATTTTTATTTTGGAATACTCTGCTTCTCTGTACCTCTGAGAAAGGTAGAATAGGCAAGCTGGAGTATGTGCTGGATATTGCTATTTTGTTGATTTGGTATAGGCTGCTCTCACTGAGGCTGTCTCCATATGAGCAAAGGGAATGAGGGATGCCCATTCTGTATGTAACTTCACATCATATAGGCAAGTCAAAGGCAAAAGGGCTGCTGGATGTGCCTGTCACACATGTGGGATTATATCCTATATATGGCCCAAAGTAAAGCTGATACTTCAGTAAAAGCTCTGTGTGCAACTTTCTTACTATGTCTTCCTCAGTCAGTCACAAACTGACAAATTCATTAGCAAGATGAGTACAAAAACACACTCCAGTTGCCTAAAAATTTTTACAAGTAAAAAAGGAGGTAATAAAAGTAAGGCTGTGCCATTAGTTAAAATATAAGATATATTAATCATAAGCATAAGATACATAAAACGTAAGATACACTTCCAGTACCTTAGTGATGCTGAAAGTTGTCCTGTCACCATGTGTAGAGTTTGCAAAAGGGCAGCATGAACAAAGTGCTGTTTGTCCTGTTCCTGGGATGCCTCACAGTCCACTTTCCGAGGTGGCTGCTGCCATCAGGAAAGTTTGTGGAAGTGGGGAAGCTGAAGACCTAATGGCCAGGGAATTGTTTTACAGTTCCAGCTGCTTTTCTGTTTTTCAGTCCACTGTCATCCCACCATAGCACTGCATAAGTGGACAAAAAATGTATGATCATTTTCTTCTCTCCATCCTCTCTGCTCCTCTCCAGAAATTCAGTTCTTTAAACCGACTTGATTCAAACATTTGATTTGCATTTCTCCCCTTAAAGGACTGGCTGCCTCAGTCTGTAGTGAAGTTTGCCTTCATGGCAAAATACATGCCATTTCATTGTCTTGGTGGAGCCTTTAAAGAGAGGAATCCTCATGCTCTGTGTGATGATGAAGTCGCCTTGACTTTCTCACAACTGATAAAAATTTGAGTGTAAAACCTATGGGCTTACCTTATATAATGCATGTGTTTATGCAAAATACGGCCTAGGAAGGTACCTGAGGAAGATGAGAGGGACTTGAATTATGCAACCTGAAAGTTTACCCCTGCTACAGGGGACTGCAGAAAATCTCCCGACTGACGGAGCTAAGCAGACTGATGTTCTGTAAAGGCTGCAATGTTCACAGTGGTGAAGGTAAATGTTACATGGGCAGAGCTGAAAAAGATTTGCTTTTCTATCAAAGTGCAGTTAAAAGATGCTGCACTCCATTGCCTATGTTTGTTTGAACTCTGGCACCAAGAAGCTTTTTATTTTATCCTCATCTTTGTCGGCACAGGGGACTCTCTAGCCCACAGCAGCTTGCCAATAAATGTGGGTCAGGTGATAGCATTTAAGTCCATTTAAGTGGGCATGTTTGTTTATAACAGCAAGCACTTTGCAACAGCTGGGGTGTCACAGTGTGTGTGAAGCACACAGCACAGTGTGGTGCTGGTGAAGTGTCCCTTTCCTCAGAGTTCTTACGATGCTTTGCCATGTCGCTCAGCTTGGATCAATGAGCATGAAAAGAAATGGGAACTTTTGGCCTTTGTGCTGTGCTCTGCAAGATAAGTAACACAGGACATCTCTGTTACTGATACAATACAAGTATTTGTTCCTTCTGTAGCAGATGCCTGTCTCAGCTTTCAAAAAAGGCCAAATATCTGCGAGACAGAGGAGCAAGGGAGAGGCCTTCTTGTAACTGTGGTTGTGGATCTGTTCTGAGGTTGTGCCCAAATACCTTACAGCTTGATTTAGATTCCTGCATTTCACCATTTTCTTTAAAATAATTTTATTTATATAAATTAAAATTATATTGTATACAAAATATAAATAATTTTATATGGTCAATATGTATATAATAAAGAAGATTTACATAGCTCATAAACTATATTCTATTATAAACTTAATAGAATATATAATAGAATCTCTCTGTATTATGTAATAAAGCTGTGTGTGTATGACTATGTGTAGGCATAAGTTTCCTCATAGCAATTTTAGGTGCATCATTGCTAATTGTGTTGTTTCTGTTGTGGTTTGTATCTTAGCAAAGCTGCACCTATGCCACGTTTGATGTTAACAGTTCAATTTGCTGGCCAGTTGTTCTCTTTGGCACTTTCTTGTATCTGTGGGACTACTGGGATACTGAGGAAATTTCTCTGTTATTATTTTATGAGAACATCTGCATGTTTGGAAATAGAAGGTTGCATGTGTGACCCCTAACTTCTCAAAATCCAGACAGTTCATAAATAGCACAAGGAATTAATTCTGAGAATGTTGTTATTTTCAAAGTAAAACACATCGATTAATGGGGTTCTGGTGCTTCTGTTCCAAAACTCAGAAATGGCAATATGGCAATTCTGATAAGCTCAGCTTCAGCTATCTCTTGAAGGTAATAGAGGGCAAGTAATAACTTTTCAAATCTTTTCTTAATGCTTTTCTGCAGTAGCTCTGTTACATTTCTTCTGTAATGATAGCCAGCTAGATACTGAATCCCGATGCCATGGCTGCAAGAATGGTATTCTGTGAGTTCCAACCAAGCAGCTTTGAAGAGATTGTATAGCTGTGCAATGTGGTTGCACTGACTGCCATGAAGAGGCTACAAGCTCTGAAATTATTCCATGTTAATTACCATGCCAAGGGGGAAAATAATATATGCTGATGATTGCCACCTTCCATCCAGAACTGCATTTCATTTATGCTATATAACTATTAACCAGCTTGTGCTGGTGTCCCAGTCCCAGACACATGAAAAAGTTGTACATGAGATCCTGCCAAAGCCAGCTGGAGAGGCTGCAGAGAGGAACATCCAACCCTTGCTTCAGGGGGGAGGGGGACTCCAGAGTACCATGAGCAAATAGCACCTAAAATATACTCTTAAACAACTCCAACCTAGGCTAAGGGCTAGATTCAGCACCAGACACAGGGTTTTTTTATTTTTCATGTCAATACCAACTAGCAATTCAGGAGCTTAATATCCTAGTTGCCCTCCCAGGTTTTTCTCATGCATTTTTAGTTTCTTGAAGAGTAATGAAGTAGTGGGACAGATCTGGGAAGTTAAGTCTTGATAATTCATAGCAGTAGAAGTGTTGTGATCCCAGGATAAACCTGTATACTGGGAATTAGCTCTTCTTCAAGGCTTCTTGGCTGCAGTATCCCAATGACCTCTGCAGTAGTGTTCAATCCTCATTCCTGTTTTGCAGTGGGGAAGCCTGCAGCTTGGTTGTGTGAGCTGGACCTAGGTGAAATAGAAATAGCTTTTGCCATGTAGACTGATAATCTTGCTCTTTGATGAAGGCTGCAGGTAAAAGCAGTGGACCAGAGTCACTGTCTCAGTCCCTTCTTTTGGCAGGAAGGAAGGCACAGGAAATCTGCCAGGAGGAAGGGGGAAGTGTTAGAATGAGGAAAGAACAGGTACAACAATAAACAAATGTTTGTTTCTATCTATTCAGTAGAGAGAATTACAAAATAATCTTGGTGTGCAGTCATCTGATTCATAGGCTTTAAAGCCAGAAAGGAGGACTGAACTGTCATTAGTATTATCCAGTCTGTCCTCCTGCATGTCTCCATGAGGCCAAAGAACCTCACCTGGTCATTTCTGCACCAAACCCTTCAGTTTGAAATACCCAGCACAACTGCAGGCTGTGCAGAGAATGCATTGAGAACAGCCCTGAGGAAAAGGATGTGGGGGTGTTGGTGGATGAAAAGCTCAACATGAGCTGGCAATATGGAAGAAATTATTTACTGT